GTATCATCCCTTCTTACAACTCTTTTGTTCATTCTCACGGCCACACTTTTCATAGCTCCCTGACTGCATAGGAATTATTAACCTAGCTTAACTGGATCCAAATGATTTTTCAGATAATTTTTATTGGGCTAATTTAGCATGTTTGAAAAAGAAATTCCAGCAAAGTGGCAGGTGGAAAACAACTGGCATGACCTTGCAGAGGAGTATCCCTTCTTACAACTCTTTTGTTCATTCTCACGGCCACACTTTTCATAGCTCCCTGACTGCATAGGAATTATTAACCTAGCTTAACTGGATCCAAATGATTTTTCAGATAATTTTTATTGGGCTAATTTAGCATGTTTGAAAAAGAAATTCCAGCAAAGTGGCAGGTGGAAAACAACTGGCATGACCTTGCAGAGGAGTAGGTTTGAATCCTGGAGTCTCACTTTTTTAGATTTTTGAGTTAACCTATCAATGCCCTTTCAACCACAGCTCAGGTATTTCCAGTGTCCTTGGAACTATTCTTAATAGTCTTTGAAAGTAATGTTTAATTTAAAAATATTTCTTGTACTTCATATTTATCCAGTGAAGTTTTTATGCATGTATTATTTATAGGGATGCTAGATCTGAAATGAGCAGCACAGCATACTATATACTTTTCTTGTTTGTTTTTTCCTTTGTGTTTAGTGGAAACCTGGACAAGCAAACAGCATTGGGTAATACAGTTCTACACTACTGCAGTATGTATAACAAGCCTGAGTGTTTGAAATTGCTTTTGAGGGGGAAGCCAACTATTGATGTAGGTAAGTTCATTATTCAGAACTAGGAAATAAAGATTTCCTAAAATTGCTTTCCATCATTTTAACCACTTTTATTTAGATCTCTGTGGTAAGTAAGCTTTTAAACTGAAAAATAAAACTGTGTTAGAAAAATGTAGACCTAGCCAGCAACAAGCCTAAAGGAAACATTCAGTTAAGAAATGGAACTTAAATTCTTAGAAGATAATAGTGACAAAAATATCTAATATGGATTGTAATGCAGTGGTTTATTTCTGACCCGTTGTAAATGTCCTGGAATTTAGGCTTACTGTTTATATGGTAAAAATCAATCTAGAACTTGTGTGTTGTAATGCTTCAAATGGCTGCTCATGTGAATTCCACTCTGAGATACGTGTGGGCTTTGTGTACACAGCAGCTGATTGTTCTGCTGGTGTCAGTGTCAGCGACACTGTGGGTTCACCTCAGCCACCACTGTCACTGAGCAGGGAAGGGATCAGCTCTCTCTGCTGCCTTTCTGCTTCTCTTTGCCATCTACATGGGTGAGATGGGGTAACACCTGCTGTACCTACATCAGTCCATTTTTCATCATGGTTTCACAGAAGTTTAATTAAAAACAGAATCTCTGTTTACTCATGCTTAGGATAATCTCTGGTTTACTAGATGCTCTTGTTTCCCTGCCATATTTTATGAGTTAGAAAGCAGCTTGTTAGGCTCAGGAGTTAAGTGTCATCAGCATGTCTATAAAACATTTGCATTCAGTCAGTTAATGGCATAGCAGAGAAGTTTTTTGACAGTCGATGTAAATTGGAGGATATGAAATTTTATTTCTCCCTTTTTCCTCATCACCATCATTTTCCTCCACCAGTAAAAAATTGTTGCATAAATTTAAGTTCATAGCTTAGTGACAGAAGTCATTGATTTCCTTGTCCTTATTATACATCCTTAGAATATGTTCTAATATTTTCATAAGTCAAAGCATTTTATGTGGCCTTTTTGAGCAGATATAATGGGAAAGCTACCTGAGCAAGTTTAAGCATATTTATTGGCCCTTCCATTGAACTCTCTCCTAGGCAGGTGGCAGAGGTTTGCACCTTTTTGGTGTTTTGTTTCTTTGAGTGGTAAAGAGAGTGTTGTGTTCTGTGTGTTGCTTTTTGAGTGCTCTCACATAGGAACTGTGTATCTTCTTTAGGCCTTGAAACATCAGGGGGTTTTCTTGAAAGTTTGGAGTTTATGTAGTCCCTTAAGCTCTTTGTATGTTAACTTCAGTTAAGTTCTGTGGTTTTATTCCTTTTCATATTAAACTTGTGAACCATCTTTCCTAAGGAGTCCTTCTTCTAGGGATCTTGATTCTTTCAAATTCTTAGGCCTTTCTAGGTGACTGCTTTGTGTTTTCTAGGATTCCTGACTGGCTTTCTCTGTGTAAAATTTCACATAGACATAGATGCTTATGGGACCTCTGTTTTCAGTTCCTGATCACAGAAAGGCTTTACAATCTGGATCTGCTGTAGAGCATTCCCTGCTCCAGCAACATGGCATTCACTGATAGACTGTAAGAGTACAATTTACCTAGGGTTTATCCCCGTGTTTTTGTTTCATGAGGCTTCCTGTGGAGCATTTAGGAAGGATTCTGTTAGGTGCTATGCCAGAGGACCTTCCAGAGGGCTCAGATACTGCCTTCTTTCTCATTAGGTGTTATTTTAAATTGTAAACCATTTTATAGCCTTTATAAAGACAAAACAGCTGGAAAGTTTTACAAGTATTCTTGTTCGAATGTCTTCAGATTAAGGCTTCAAACCTCTATATATTGAAGTAAAATGTCCTTGGATCAACGTTGGTTTTTTTTTTTAAAGCCCTTAGGACAGTTTTTTCTTTTAAGCTACTTTACCCTACCTGCTTGCTTTTCCAGCTTTTTCATGTAATTGTGTTACTGGCAAAGGTGTTGAGTGGAGATTGAAATGACTAAATTTCTTTATATTCTCTGCTAGGATGGTTAGGAGGGATTTGGGAACTGTCCCAGAGATGCTGCTGGTCAGAAAGAACCTGATGATACATGAAATGCATGAGCACTTAGAGTGGAATCTTAAAGCCCTGCAGCTGCTATAGAATACATAGACCTTTTTGATCACTTTTGGAAATTACTCTGTTAAAATAAATGAAACTTAATGAATTATTTCTTTAGACATCTCAAAGAATTGCTCATTTTTCTGTTGTTAATTTTGTAGTAAACCAAGCTGGAGAGACTGCTCTGGACACAGCAAAAAGAGCGAAAGCTGTCCAGTGTGAGGAACTGGTAAGAACTGTGTGGGGGGAAAGGCAAGGGGGAATGTTCCTTCTTTAGATGTGTGACCTACTTAATGTATCATTACACTATCTCAAAGGTGGTGTCACTGCCAGCTGGCTGTGTGCTGATCTGAAGGCCCTACTACAAATGAGTATTTAACTTCAAAACAAAACAGTCCTTTTCTTTGTAACACTTTAAATAAAAAAATCTGAACTTCTGTTAGCAGAACTTGTTATTTTAACCAGCATCCTTGAAGACCTTAAATACTGGAGGGTCAGATATATCAAGTAATGCATCATTCAAGGACATTTGGGCTTCATCACCTGAAAAGTTCTTCTTAGAGACTTTTATATCAGGAGTACAGAACAACCCCTATAATATTAAATCTGTCAAGACACTTTAAGTCTGGATCTTTGTTTGACTTTGCAAGGTCCTACATCCGGGCCCTGGCAATCCCAGGCACAGCTACAGGTTGGGTGGGGAAGTAATTGAAACCAGCAGTGAGGAGAGAGACTTGGGAGTGACAGTGGATGAGAAGCTCACCATGAGCTGCAGTG